TATCCCCTGTGTGCCTTGTCGACTCAGTTCCCATTAATTATAGACGACTTTGAGATAATTTTCTTCGAGCCGCGAGACACCTTTTGTTGAACGTTATGTTGTTAATCGCGGATCGAACGTGTATGTGTGTGCGTGTATGCGTGCGTGTGTGTTGTGTGTGTACGACGAAAAAATTTGTAAATCCACGCAACTGGTACTTCCAACAACTTGTTATAATACGCTATAAATCTGGTGTATATCATTACATGCCATATCCACGACGACGAGGTAAATTCTTTCTTCAAACAACACAGGCACATCCCTCGCAACATCCTCCCGGGGATCGATCGCTTAATCCTCTCCCGGAAGCGCGCGGAAACCTTTTGACGAACTGTACAATCGAAAGCGCCATCGTAATGTCATTTCAATTTTTTACATCTGCGTTCACGGTTAATGATTTCTCTACCTTCCGGTTAGGAAAGATCCAGAAGATTCAATTGGATTAAAATTCGAATTAAAACAAGCATTTTCCTCGATTTTGCGTATAGTGATCGATCGATCGATCCCTTTGTCTCCAGACATTTCTTTTGTCGTTATTATTTTGATAGACGGATTTTACACGCAAGATATATATCTATAGAGAAAAGTCTGTAATAAAAAATATATATATATTATATATATATATAAACATACAAATAAAACTTTATGCCATTTACAATTCACTTTTTTTTCCAAGAAGAAACGCAAACATTGAGAAAATAAAAATGTATGTTGAAGAGGGAATGTTTATTAGGAAATATATAATTAACATGATATTGGAATATATAAGTTATCTAGAAATACGCATACATGATGACGATCGTTGAACAGTTAAGTTCTTTGCCCGTTTCTAATTTCAAGAATTGAAAATCACATTACCACATATCTTTACCACTTTACTTATTAACAATGTATTACCAATTCGTTTTTTATGTGTTCTTCGCTTCATCATCTGATGTATCATCATCTTCATCGGCTGATTCATTAAGTGATATTTCACAAAATGATGGCATTACATCATCCGATATGCATTTATCGCACGAATCGTCGTCGGAACTACTGGTCGACTCGCTGTCGGAACTATCGTCCGAATCACTGGAATTATTCATATCGCATTTCGCGTATTTCCTATAGTCCCAAACTGAAATTTCCTTCTCCTCGTCCGAGTAATCATCAAAATAATCAATTTTCTTTCTAGTCTTTGTACTATTTTTGTCCCTAAATCTGTCGAAATAATCATCTGCAGATGAGTTATCGGACTCCGTATCGGGATAATCGTTTTTCCAATATGACTCTGCATTGGAATCTGTGGAATCGTGGTCATCATCCTCTAAGGGTACGTCATCTGCGATCGAGTAATCTGGCTGCCTCAGCATTAAACGGCTATCACCAGCGAACCATACGTTGTCAGAGGTTTGCGCGCAATACAAATCATATACGTAATCCTCAGTATCCTGAAAGATACATATTACATATACCTGTTTGTATGTTTCAAGAGACGCGGTAGCGGCTCCCATCAAGTATATTTTTTCGCTATTACATATACATATATTTTACTTTGTTCAAATATTGATTCTATTTTCAATTTATTGCATGCATACACACACCCATGTAAAAAATTACTTCAATGTATAATTATTTTTCGTTATCTGTTACATATAACATACAACACACACACATACACACACGCATGTATACTTTTAAGATTACATATACATATACGGAGATAAGATTGCTTTAAATATTTCTAATTCAAAAACTTTTATAGTTTTGATAATTTGGTATTAGGTCTTTCTATTTAAGTATTTCATCTTAAAATCATCTCAGGAATCTGTAAACATTATATATATATATATATATATATATGTACATACATATTCTATCCTGCACAGACAACGCTTAAGAATTGTGTAGTCTTTACAAGATAGAATAAATACATACATATATATTATATATAATAATATTTAATATTATATATATATATATATATATTATATATATATATATAAAGCTTACAGATTCCTGAGATGATTTTAAGACGAAGTACTTGGAAAGATCTAATACCAAATTATCAAGGCTATAAAAGTTTTTGAATATATATAAAAGCTGGCATTTATCCTCCCTTTCTATCAATTTTCGACAAAATAACTATTTCAGCAAAGGCACGCTTGAAGTTCGACTCAGATGAATTAATGGCAAAGCAACACCGAATACGAAAAGTTGCGTTCTATTGGGGCTTACAGAAAGATGACAAATCTCTATGTCATTGGTAATGTGATCACACTTGATTCTTCATGCAAAGTCAGTGAAGACACGTTCCATGAAAAGGAGGCGACTTGACGTTGACTTTTCAACACTTTACATTGAGGGAGCATTCTTTCACTCATAAAATCACAGTACATTAATGCCTAGTAAGCAAATTTTTCATGCAAAAAAAAATGATTGTATTGATTGTACATGGCTTACTTCTTTCTCTTCTGAATGTTCCGGATGAGAGGCACTCCAACTGTCCTTCACGTCTATAATCGTCATCCATTTATCCCTAAGCTCCTTCTCATTCTCATTCGACTTGTCCAGAGATGGCTGACAATCGGTAACTTTATGCTTTTCCACCGCGTCCACGTCTACCCATTTGACTCTCTTCGAATTACCCGAGGGATTGCAAAATTGGGAAAATCGTCTCTTATCACCGACCACGCAACTATCCTCAGGGTCCAGAAACCTGGTCACGTACTTCGTAACATCCTCGTTCTGAAACCAATAATCAATATGCTTTCTAAGTTCTCTGATAAACCCATTTACCCCTCTTCTCTCCTCTCTTTCTCTCTCTCTCTCTCTTATTTCTGAAGTAGGGTAACTGTCCCTATTAGTGTGCCCTGTACCTATTAGTGTGCTTTTACATTTAAATAAGTAATAAAAATAAACTGATAGAAATATATAGACAAAGTATTTGTTTTTTATTAAGTTAAAGTATTAATTTTATTTAAAAAAATACTTTGTCTATTTATTTATACCACTTTATTTTTATGACTTATTTAAATGTAAAAGCACACTAATAGGTATAGGACACACTAATAAGGACAGTTACCCTAATTTTCTTATAGTTTCTTAGAGTAAAGAACCTCTTTTTAGAACCTCAAATTAACCTATAAACAACCTAACCTATAAGTGATCTTCCAAAAGATCCGAAGGATTATCTGTTTTTTCTTCTTCTAGTGGAGCACGTCTACAGGAGAAAGCTTGCGAAATCAAGCCGCAGTTGATCCGCGTTAACGAAATACAAAAATCATCAGATTTCTCACCGGATCTGTGACCGTGGCGTGAAACTCGACGACGGTTTCCACCGGGTCAGTGATGACGTCGGTGGCCTCGGTTTTCTGGCGTTTACACGCAATCACTAGCGCGTCCAGCGGAGAGAAGCTCTTCTTGCGTTTTACACGCAAAACCGCAGCCATTTTCCAATACGAAATACAATCAAAATTAAAATACCAAGTTGCCAGGGATCCGCGAACGTTTGCTCACGCACGACGCAATTCAGAATATTCACTATTCAGACCAGACTCCTCACTCCAGAGAGAAGCGTGAGAGAGGCCATGCCGACTTTTTGGGTGAACCGACGATTCTCCTTCGTACACTAGCGCTCCACGTCCACGTTTCCAAAAAAAGAACTACGTATCACGTCTATCTTATAACATTGTCGATCAAATCATAGCATTAGAACGTGGTTCGTGTCCGTGCTAATCGTGTCTTATAGTCAGGGTTGTGCATCTACGCGTAAAATATAATATTCTACGTTTACGTGTAGACAACGTAAACTATTGTATAAGTGTCATCTATGTAGACAGTCAGTAGACTATTCCAAATAAAATGTGTGCGTGTCCGTACTACTACTGCCGAGTGCCGACGCGACCACGTCGGAGTCCGACAAGAAAAAAGCCTCCTATTATGTAATATGTAGCGTTCTGCTTATATACTCGACTTGAGTAGTTAGCGCGCTCCAATCAGAGCGCTTGGCGTGCGGAGTAGCGGAACGCTACGCGACGGAAAGATTTTTGCTCCGTGGGACTCCGACGTAGACGCATCAGCACTCGGCGGCCTCAGAGGCTAGCGCGCTGCGTGGCCGCATGAAATGGGACTATAGGGAGCGCGCGGGACCATGGAGAGAGACCGCCTCATCGCCCGTGTCAGTTTTCGGCGGACGATTAGGAGTAAAGAGCGAGATGCCAATATATATAACCGGCGCCGTAATAAGATAATTCACGAATGTGATTGCGGGGCGATTAGATTCGGAAGTCGAA